TAGAGAAAATCACTGTAGTACCTGTGAGTCTGGAGAAGAAGATTTTTGAAATATTGGATAATTTTCCCTTTGGGGCCCCGCCCTGGCCCCAGGGGTGGGGGTAGGAATCCCAATTTTACAATTTTGAAGCCTCATCTACCAAGGATGATTCTGACCAAGTTTGAAAAAAATCCATCCACTGGTTCTTGAGAAGAAGTTGAAAATGTAAAAGTTTACGCACGACGCACGACGGACGACGGACGACGACGGACGAAAAGCGATTGGAATAGGTCACTTGAGCAAAGCTCAGGTGACCTAAAAACCACCTTCTTCAATATCTAGCATACAGATTTAAGACTAAAAAGTATTTGAAACTAGCACCTCTGATTCTGAACAAAGAAAATGAAGAAACTTTAGCACACTGACTCCTTTGGGCCCCACCCTACAGCCCTTGGGGGTAGGGCTGGGTCAAAATTTTCAAAGTATCAAACTGTCAATCAAACTGTCAATCAGGGTTATAATTCCAATCAAGTTATCAACATGTAATATTCAAAGTATCATTTGCCATTATAAACCATAATAAATTTTGACTTTGTCTCAGGTGACCTAAAAATTCTGCAATGAACAAAAGGCTTTATACACAAATACTTAAATTCAAAATCAAGTGGATGCTAATTCAGTAATGAAATAATATTTGCAAAATTCATATTGAGATTTGATTCATCATTCACCTTGCAAAAGAGAAAGATTACTTACCTTGAAGTACGTACATTGTATTAAGTTCACTTACTTTGGTAATCATTATGAAGTCTACTTTCTTTGTAATTTTAGAAAAACAGGAAAAACACTTACCATATTTGTAATTTAATTTTCTTTCCATCAAGTTCTATCGTCCTAATTTTGAAATCAATACCTAAAAGAGAGAAAAGCAGTGTTAGAACACATGGATTGACATTTACAACCTGTAATCCTGTATAGCGCTCTACCCTTAAATAATATTATTATGTATTATTTATATTCATTCTGTACACCGAGGGGGGAGGGGGTTATTGAGATAAGGAAAATGTGCAGGAACACTCTATATATATAGCTAGGGGACTCATTTTAAGTGGTAGGAGGGGTGTGGTTTTGGGAGGGGTGTGGTTTTGGGAGGTGTTGGGGGTGACACTGAGAATGTGGGATGGGGGACACCAGAAGGGTTAGGGGGACCAAGATTAAGGTGTGGAAGCTTAAGGGGACGAGAGAAGTAAGTTTGTGGACGGATAGATAAGAAATCCCCCTGATGCTGAAGGGTCTCAGCATCAGGGGGATACAGAAATTAAGAAGCTGGGGAAGGCCACTAAATGGGTCTAGAGGACAGAGAGATTGTGGAGGGAACAGACACTAGACAGTATACAGGTCTGGGGGACAAAGAGATGAGAAGATTGAGGAAGGGACTGGGCGGGGTAATCATGACTCACAACATGAGTCAGGGGGACAGGGATAAAATCATTGAGAAGGTTGGGCGGGACACTTAAAGGTAGCAGTTCCAATACATTGTCTGTTCTATTCTTCTAGCTATTCATGTACATATTTTCTATACTAAACAGTTACAACAATCATGTGAGTGAATTGATAGTAGATATAAGTTAAGGGTGAGATCTATAGCAGTAAAAGTATACCATACTGTTCTCCTTCACAATGAGATAACACAGTAGATACTACTCACAGGCTAATTAAATCAAGTCACGTGCACCTGCCCCCATAGTCAGGTATGTTATAGTATGTATATACAGGTACACAACATATACATTGTAGGTACAAAATATACAGGTATACTGTATTTATGTACAGGTATAGATACATTTATAGCAGGATGTAAATAGTTAATATTTAGCACAGTAAATTAAACTGTGTGCAGATTTTCAAATATTCTACAATCCTAACCTGTACATATTTTTACAGAAATTGTGTTTAATGTTAAAATTGTTCACTAGCCCCGAGAATTACAGAATTATAGAATTACTAGCACTAGTCATGTGGCCCATACTGTAAACATATACAGGTAATTACAGTTATAGATACAAACATATACAGGTATGTTTAAGGGTGCACATGTACCAGTACATATAAGCACCTGATATGGACACAACACCTGGTGAGGTCTACTTATAGAAAGTAGTGTACGGCACTGCCTTGGACATCTGAACATTCTTGTCATGGATCTGTCACACACCTAATATATTCACTAGCATGCACAGGTAGAATATAAATAGTCCATACCTAATAGTTTTGTATTGTGAAGTCAAAAATACTGGAGAGTATAAAACAATGGGCTCCGATTACGAACTTGTAGCACCCATGTTTCTAGCCATGCATTTCTTACGAGCTCACTGATCTTTCTATAGTACATATTTTATAATGCAATGACAAAAATAAGTTTGATTTTAAAATGTCCTAGATTTTTGTTATGTTGGATTTGAATTTTAAATTAGCACCTTATTTATTGACAGGTGTTTTGATTGGCTGACAGCCAAACAATGCAAGATGGCTTGATTTTACAGATCATACATGTAAAAAGATATCAGTATATCAGTTTATCTTGTTGTCAACATGCGATCTAAGAGAAAAATCCACTGCAAAACTGTTGTGTACAATAAAATATGTAGCAGAACTGGACTTTGTCTATCTCGAGGCACGGTAGTCTAGTGACAGAACACCAGGCTCACGAGTGAAGGGTTCGAGTCACCTCACGGCACTGTGTTATATCTTTGAAAAAGATACTTTACTCTGCTTGTTTCAGTCTACTCAGCTGTAAATGAGTACGGGGTCGGGCAGTGCTAGAATTGTTGAATGCTAGCTATAGCTGTGAGCGCCGAAATGGCAGCACCGGCTGTATGCTCCCCAGGGAGGTGAGAGATATTGGCTAGTTGCAAAGGCCCTATAACCATGGATAATAATTTGTGAACCGCTTTGAGAAGACCTACGAACTGGGTTGCAATAAAGCGGTATATAAGAACCTCAAATTATTATTAATAATGGTTAATGACCTCAGGCTCAAGGTAACTCAAATTAGCGTCCATCAAAAGTTAGGAGGTCTGGGGTTTGAAAAACCAGTCTGGGGTTCAGTATTTTCTCTCCTGTTTTAATAGTGTTGCCTGTGACCAACTCTTATTTTAAGTCCTGTTTATGGGCAAGGGGATACAGGAACCTGGGTTGTAAGTAGTGTTATCTTGAATTTAAATTATATAATTGTATTGGGGTGAAGTCTTCAAAGAAAGAGGGAGAAATGTAGGGGAAGTGGACTTGATTGATCCCTGTGACCAGGAAGCTCAATTTGTCAGAGCATCCGTCCAGAGTTCGGAGGCCTTGGGGTTCAAATCCTGGTCTGGCTGTGCATGATTCCTCTCCTGTTACATATATGAACAGCTCCACACCCTAAATGCTGATGCAACAACACAGTACAGTTTTACTTGACAGAAATATTGTACGTACGAAGCTGATACAAAGTCCACACTGATATTATAGAGATGTCAGAAAGCTCCGGGTCAGGTCAACTCAACTGAAGTTATTTCTCCAGACGCAATCTGCTCTGTACCTTAACAAGATCAGCTGAGGAAACTTGGTGGAGTAAACTGAATCTAATAATAAAAGCTGTGTTCCTGCTTTCCTTTCCCAGCCGACTTTATACAATAATGAAATTAGTTTTTTTAATCTAATCCTACATTTTTTGTAGTTTTTGTATGCGACGTTCTACCGTTACCTTATGTGGCATTTTTCTCAATCAAAACAGTGTTTACTATAGAATTTGGGTACACTAATCAACACACAGATATAATTTTAAAGAGTCACAATTTTATGGGGGTGGGGGTGGAACAAATTCATAGGATTCAAATTGTGCACATGTTCCCGAGGTCTTTTTTTTTAATTAATGTGCTCTGATGATGAGTATAGGAGTAAAACACTGTACTATACACATTACTTGTCTGGTGCTCAACTGATACAGCCACAGGGGGGAATCCCTCTTCAGGTAGTCTAGCAAAGTTCATAGCAAGTGACAAGGGGGGAATCCCTCATCAGGTAGTCTAGCAAAGTTCATAGCAAGTGACAAGGGGGGAATCCCTCATCAGGTAGTCTAGCAAAGTTCATAGCAAGTGACAAGGGGGGAATCCCTCATCAGGTAGTCTAGCAAAGTTCATAGCAAGTGACAAGGGGGGAATCCCTCATCAGGTAGTCTAGCAAAGTTCATAGCAAGTGACAAGGGGGGAATCCCTCATCAGGTAGTCTAGCAAAGTTCATAGCAAGTGACAAGGGGGGAATCCCTCATCAGGTAGTCTAGCAAAGTTCATAGCAAGTGACAAGGGGGGAATCCCTCATCAGGTAGTCTAGCAAAGTTCATAGCAAGTGACAAGGGGGGAATCCCTCATCAGGTAGTCTAGCAAAGTTCATAGCAAGTGACAAGGGGGGAATCCCTCATCAGGTAGTCTAGCAAAGTTCATAGCAAGTGACAAGGGGGGAATCCCTCATCAGGTAGTCTAGCAAAGTTCATAGCAAGTGACAAGGGGGGAATCCCTCATCAGGTAGTCTAGCAAAGTTCATAGCAAGTGACAAGGGGGGAATCCCTCATCAGGTAGTCTAGCAAAGTTCATAGCAAGTGACAAGGGGGGAATCCCTCATCAGGTAGTCTAGCAAAGTTCATAGCAAGTGACAAGGGGGGAATCCCTCATCAGGTAGTCTAGCAAAGTTCATAGCAAGTGACAAGGGGGGAATCCCTCTTCGGGTAGTCTAGCAAAGTTTGTATCAAGTGACAAGGGGGGAATCCCTCTTCAGGTAGTCTAGCAAAGTTTATAGCAAGTGACAAAGGGGAAATCCCCCTTCAGGTAGTCTAGCAAAGTTCATAGCAAGTGACAAGGGGGGAATCTCTCATCAGGTAGTCTAGCGAAGTTCATAGCAAGTGACAAGGGGGGAATCCCTCTTCAGGTAGTCTAGCAAAGTTCATAGAAAGTGACAAGGAGGAATCTGTCATCAGGTAGTCTAGCAAAGTTCATAGCAAGTGACAAGGGGGGAATCCCTCATCAGGTAGTCTAGCAAAGTTCATAGCAAGGGACAAGGGGGGAATCCCTCTTCAGGTAGTCTAGTAAAGTTCATAGCAAGTGACAAGGTGATCCAATACATGCGTGAGAATTAAGGAGATTAATTTGAACAGAGTACCAAGGTCCCGTGTGGGTACAAATATTATTAGGTCACCTTCTTTTCAAGAGTATCTGCAACTAATGAGTGGAACCCAGGATGCAAGTCTATTCTTTGAGATAATGGGAAATTCCCTCTAGCTGAGTCACTAACAATTAAGTACCTCTATGTGGTATATATAGGTTTACCATGACACATATGTTGACATATCACGTTTAAAGCCTAAGACAGGTCACAAGGCTAGTATTTAATAGGATATTCAATTCAATATTAATGTATTAAGGCAGGGGAAATATTTCATTTATACAAATGTAATCTTATTAACTGGTTTTGCATAAACCCTTTAAAAGTATATTTTGATAAGTTTCATCAATTATTTACATTGTCAGATGTAAATATTTCCAATGTTTTCTTTAACTTATTCACCCCTGAAATTTTATAATGAACTATTCCAATCTTTGAATTGGAAAAGTTCAAATGTGTCTTCAGGGGTGAATGAGTTAAAGGACACATAATTAACAGCATAACAGACAACTAGCTAAAATACTTATAATTTTCATAAAATTTTCAGATATAAAAATAAAATAAAATTCAACAATGTTTCAATAAAATAAGTTGGTACTATTTTCCAGATTTGTTGGGTTTAGACATTGTTCTAATATGGCTTTCAACTAACATTCTATTAGACAGTGGGGCAGCAATACTATGTAGGTTGTAACAATTGAAAACAAGTTATACAGTAATTAATTACAATCAAATCTTGACAAATACAAGTTTTCATATGACCTATGTTTACACTAGATAAGAATAATGTGCCATAGAAAATCTAGAGGAAACAATAGGAATTACATACGTAACTTATCAGAAAACAGTCGGACACACACAGCATTGAAGTATTTTGTAATATAATGAATATCAGTGATTTTTCTACTTCCTTTCCACAGGGGCCTGTGCCTGATTTGGGGATATATCACCCACAGAAATCATGATTTTGGGAAATAAAGTGATTTTTTGTATTGATTTTGGGTAAAAACAAAAAAAAATCACTTGGGGAAGGGGCCTTTATAAGGCCCATTAACCTTAAAAAAAATCACTATAAGACAGGCGATCAAGTTATGAACTTTGCTTGTAAACCTAGTTAATAGTTTGACATTGAGCAACTACACATGGTTAACTTTTAAGTTTGATAGGATTGATAGGAACCAAATTCTCTTTGCTACAAGTTTGATAGACTCTGAATTTATATATAACATTAGAACAAATTGGGTTCAGGTTTGGCGTGGACCAATTTCAGTAACGTGGTTAATGTTAACTAATAACTACATTACGATTTTGACAGTGACAGACTTCTCATGGTAAAAGTTAACCTTTGTTACCACTACTGGGGTTGTGTCATGTCATGTTTACAGTTCTAGTTAGCTGCGATAACATAGCTTTCCGACGAAGAGAGATTTTTTTAATATATTGCGTCGGGCAGAGGAGGCCGTTATTAATATTAGTACTAAGTACTAGTGTGAAGGCACATTTGGAAAAAAGTCTTCTAGCCCAACCTACACTTTTATAGTAAATACTGAACATTCCACGAGCACCAGCATCAGACTTTTAGATCTCTTGTGACCACTATGTGTTAACCTTTATCACAATTTTGACAGCAACCAACTATACGTGTGCTATTACCTTAAGTTTGTAAGTAGTACATATGACGGACACTCATTAAAATTAATCAAAATTGAATTTTATCAAAATGTCAGTCATCAAAGTTTTAATCATCTGTATCTTCTATGTATCAATCAGTTGATCAGAATATTAATATCATGGTTTGGTGTGCTTGATAATAAACCATCAACATCCTACGGTTGCTACAGAAACAACTACCATCATCAATTAAACTTCCTGCTTACATATTTACTGATGAACACAGGCATTTAACTCAAACGTGCTGATATAGTTTATGTATAAAACGGATATCTTGACGCCTGAAGTTACCGTCTACTAGTTTATAAAACGACATATTAGACACTGCTGTGTACGTGTGCGGAGAGTGAACACAACAGGGACGCCTGTCATGCGGATTATATAACAACATAATCTGCAGGGGAGATTGTAATCACGGTCTAGACACAACAAAACTTCACACGACTGATATTCAGAGAGTACCTCATGAAGTTGAGTCATAGGGGGTTAGGGGGGTTTCACCAAAATCACAAACCTATTGTAGAAATAAACGTTGAGTTAAAGGCGTCCTCGGAGAAGCGGAACAGTACACATGTTTTCCCGACGCCAGAATCGCCGATAAGTAACAACTTGAATAAGTAGTCATACGTCTTCGCCATCTTGTGAACCTGTTAAAACTCTGTAACTAGTCTTTCGACGGATCCACCCTCATTTACATAAAGATGAGTGACGTAGGCGAGGTCTCCACTTCCGGGTTCCTTGATCATTACAACGTTTGTTTTTAACAGACGCCATGATTTGTCGGTTTAAGCTTCTATGAAGCCATGGCAATAATACCATCGGATAGTTTCGGGGATTATCGTTAAATAGGTTGAAAAGGGTAAAACATTCCGAGTAGATCTTATGCACTTGGTTGTAAAGTGAAAGTTTAAAAAGACATTTAAACTTTTTTCCATTCACATATTCAAAAAACAAATGAAAGGATCTTTTCCCTTTAGCTTTTAACTTAATTTATGTAAAAATTGGACAATGAGAGAAGACAACAAAGTCACTTGAACAATGGATACTAGGTTTAAAAGTATGAGTCATGCGTGCTTGTTCACACTTCAATTAAATTCCACTTTGACTATTTACAGATGATATCAGCTGTTATTGTTAAACGTAATAAGGCATTGTCACCACAAACACCGGTCTTGATAAAGAGACTCGTCACGTGTGTGACTGGCATGGTTAACAGTTATTTCCGAGCACGGTAGATATCGTGCAATGTTGAAGGATATATATATATTATCTGACGTAAATGGGTTTTTTTTCGCCAATCTCTTACCGGAGTTGTCTTTCCTTACATTCACCTAACACACGGTTATTAACTTCTTGTCAAAACCACTATATTACAATAAGGTGGGTCCATCCTTTTGGAAAAACCCATGTCTTGTTTTTCTAATTAGGCTTATTTATTTGCATTTTTTTACATAGATTCCATATATGAAAAGAAAAAAGGGGTTCTCGACTTACTTTTTTAGATAATTGAGCTGAAAGGTAGCCACTTTTCTGAAATTTCCCTCAAAATTAATCCGCTACAAACCTAACGTATGAATTGATTTATTATTTTTAAATTACAGAAGACATTCAATATAACAAGTTTACATCTCCGTTTGTTATTGAACTTATTTTTTATTAGAATTCAATTTCAAGTTGAGTACATTCAGACCATTAACTTTATCAATTTGATACATTTACGTATACATGAATTAACTAAGATTAAATCAGAAATGATGGTGATAATGTTTCTTCAAATGAAATTATTCTCATTTTGCGCACAGTTCAGCAAAGTTATAAAGAGACTTTATTTTTCATACTGTCTACAATGTTGGCATCTAATATTATCTTCCATCAGTGACGGTGGCTGATTGAGGACATCCAAATATTTATGTTTATTTCGTTTTAACGGGTGAGTACATCTCGTTATAACGAGTAAGTATCTCGTCACGACGAGTAAGTTGCTAATTATTACGACTTAGTATCTGTTTTCAATTGCATGGTTTAACAGTTTCATTTCATTTTTGTTATCGAATCAAGCTAAGCTTCGCAGTAGGAGAGAAACAATCTTTTGGTTCATACCAGATACAAGGACAGATGTGATTATCGTTGTTATTTACGTTAAACAAGTATCAAGCATTATTTTACAGTACAGTGTATATTTATATTAAGCGTTTCTTTCTTTTCCCATTGGTGTAGTCCCGGACCCCGTACTTGTTGAATTGTCCAGACGGGATGTGCAACAATAGGCAGCTATTGTTTTATGAAATAATGGCGATTCAATTATACAATGTTTCATATATATGAAAGCTGCATTTTTACTTAAATAATCAGCTGTGATTCACCAATGTTTCGATATATTTGGTCAAAATAAACCGTTTATGTCATTTCATTTCATTTTTTTTATTTTAAAATGTAATATCTTCTAATCACTGCCCTGCCTATTAATGCTGTACATCTTTACATTGAATTCAGAAAAGAAGGTAATAATTAATTCTCCATGTCACTAAATTTTTACATTTGACAACAAAATCCCTGTGCAATACGCACTTTTCTAGGGCGAGTCAGCCAGAGTAGATTTGGTTTGGTTAAATTTTGTTTAACGTCCTATTCACAGCTAAGGTCATTTAGTATGTTGTATACGTGTGCTTGCGTGTATGTTTGTGTGCAGTAGACAGGGTGTTGGTGTTATTGCCTCTTTGTGATATCGCTGATCTGCTGATTCCGACTGTATAGTGCTATCACACTAAAACACCATGCCGAAGGCACCCAGCACCGCACTCCGCCCGATCACATATCCCCAGTGCTAGAGTACAGATGAGTGAATTTTACATGTTAGAAAGACGATATGGATGCCTGTATATCTATGATGAGATATAGAATATTCTTTTTAAAAAGTCTTACATTCAGAAATTCATACATTCTATATGCATAAGCAGTTCTTTTTAAAGCAGAATTGTCTAATCTGTAGAAGACTTACAAGACTTATTCATATAATTAATTAATATACCAAATATTTTTATATCATTTCCCTTTTAAAATATCTGTATACATTCACACTATGTTTGTAACATTATATTGTTTAATTAAACTGTATTAAACTAAACTAATTAAAGCCCAGTTGACCTTTGACAGCGGTCATCGTTCTTGAGTGACCTGGGCTGTAACGATACATAAACATGGCGATACTGTGGTCACGATACGATACGTATCACGATACATATAGTAACAGTAAATGCAAAACAAAAAGAAATGTCGTGATTTTTTTGAACGGCAATTACAACTGTAAATAGACTTGGTCCAAAATGAGCATGACTTTCAAGTAACACACACTTCACGTCTTTCGATTCATGCCGAGCTGGAGCTGTCACTCGCCATGTTGGAACCGATATAAGTAGACTAAATTCAGAAACGACAAAAACCTGAAAATATCGTAGGTGTATCGTAATCTCCCAAAATAGTGTGTATCGTACAATATCGAAAATATCGCGATATATCGTTGCATGCAGGCCTTGTTAGCATATACAAAAATATGCAATATTTTTCTTCCCAAGTATCAATATACCCAAGCACCACAGCTGTATGCTTTATGGTTCTTTAGATATTATTTTTACATTATTTGAAGGTGGTCTGAAAATGGTCAACATCAGGTCTTTTATAGATGCTCTAAAACTAGGATGGTTAAAGAGATTTTTTCAAAATACATGTTCTAGAAAGTGGCAAGTTATACTTATGAATATTATTAATGTTGATTTTATTATGAATTGTGGAAATAATTACCTACGTATGTGTCATAGGACATGCAAAAATGTGTTTTGGTGTGATGTTTTCAAAGCTTGGGAAAGATTATTAAATTCTGATTTACCAAAGGGCAGACAACTCTCTATTCTGAAAACCCCCTTATGGCATAACCCACATATAACTATTGGTGGAAACTCTGTCTTTTACAATAACTGGTATGCTAAGGGTGTTAGAGTGATAAATGATATGTTGAAAAATACAAATCCTGTTACTTTCTATTCCTACCATGAATTTGCACAGAAATATAATATATTTACAAACTTTCTTCATTTTCATGGTCTTGTCAAATCTGTTAAATTAATTATTGATACACAAAGGATTCAGGATATAAAACTTCTACTTCCTTTCATTCCTTTAAACATAGAACCATTTTTTGATAAGACTCCAGGAACAAAATATTTATATAAAATATTATCAAAGAATGATGAAATTCCAACAGGCAGGAAAAAATGGGCAGATCAATTTGACTTTGATAATT